AAGAAAGAAAGAAAGAAAGAAAGAAAGAAAGAAAGAAAGAAAGAAAGGAAGGAAGGAAGAAAGAAATCAAGAGAAGGAGAGAAAGAAATAGAGAGAAGCCAAAGTAAATGTAATTTTACAGAGAGGAAATTTTTAGACCTAGCATAAACCCAGATATTGTAGTTTCCTACACTAAAGGTAAGAATATCTTTTTTATTCAAAATTCAGGTGTGGTTAACAGAAAGAGCAGTCACATTGCTTTTATGTTTCAGGAAGTGTCTAAGTAGGGTTTGAGAGGAAAGGCAAACCTGGTTGTAAGACCATAACAAACGGATAATATTCAGTTTGGAATATCATAGTTTCCTGTCTTCAGTGGATATAGAAAGATTTCTGATACCATTTATAAAGCAAAGTAGGGGCACTGCATGGCTTTACTCATCTTTAAGCTAAATGCAGGCACCTACCCCTACACACAAAAGGTCATTCACTAAAGGTTGAGCTTGGTGGAGTGGAAGAGGTCTGTAAAGCAGTAAGAATGATCTCTGATAAGGTTTGGGAGCAGAGTGTGGGACCAGCTTTTGGAGGGCAGTTATTTAGTGGCATCTGTGAATGGGGAGTTAAGAGGGAGTGGGTAAGCAGTTGGGGTGTAAGCTCTTCAGGTTATGGTCTCTGTAGTCCTCGATATGGCACAACCAGAATGCAGGGAAGTCCCTGGGTAAAACCAAAAGCTACTGCCAGCCACGGAGGGGAAGAACCAGTGTCACTGAGATAATGTTACTGGTAATGTTGATGACAATATTGATGGTTAAACAAGTAACTGATTGTTTTCCTTCCTTTAGTCACATAGAAAAAATCACCACATGGCAAGACCCTAGGAAGGTGATGAATCAGCCCCTGAATCATGTGAACCTCCACCCTGCCATCACTTCCACATCGGTGCCCCAAAGGTCCATGGCAGTGTCCCAGCCGAATCTTGGTAAGCCCCAACCTTTGATTCCTAGCCAAAGGAAGAGTCTGAATGAAAATAAGGACATGACCACCCGTGGTTATGGTTGAGGAGAAGGATTTTATTGTAGATATGGTGAGGAGAGTTCAGCCAGAGGCATCTAGAAGGTTCCAGGCTGAACCTGGCCATGAGAGGAAGGAGAAGGGGAGAGGAAGAGGAGAGAGAGAAGAGGAGAATGGATAAGGCAAGAGAGGAGCCTAGGACCAAGAGGCCAAAAGAGCAGCCAAGGACCAAAAGGTCAAGAGCTAGCCAGCCAAGAGCTGAAGACAAAGAGAGTGTCCAAAATGGCGGAGGTTGTATAGGTAAGAAAAGCTTGGGGAAGGGAATCAAAGCCCAGCCCCTGGGCTGGGGAGGTTTAGGAGAGGGAGCAGGGTGAGAAGTGCTGGGAGGAGCCATGGGTGCTCAGTGAGACTTGTCCTGGTTATCTCTGAGACCTGACAGTCTCTACCCAATGGTTTTGAGGCTCAAAATCAGTTCTCCTTGCCTCATGTCTCTTCATATTCTTCCCTCTCAGCTGCATTCTTTGCCTTCTTTTCCTGATGCTTTGCCACATGATTTGTGACACTGGTAGTGACTTCCAGTATACTTCTGACATTCTTTTTATTTCCTTGAGTTCTTTGAAAAATCTTGGCCTCATTCATGTCTTTATTCAGAGCAAGCAAGGCAAGGAGAGCATATACCACCTTCCTGTAATTTGGTTCCTGAAGAGTGTGCATGTGAGCCTGCCAGCAGGCAAGGTGCTTAAATGCCTCTTCTCTTAAGTCCACAATGCCATAAAGTAGCAGGATTCCGCACGATAGATGAGGAAACTTTCTGAGTCACATAGCTTGTAGATCTGGTTTTAATATCAGGTACTCACTACACAATATGCAGGTGTCTTCTTCCCATGTGCTCTACATTTGCAATGTTTAAGTGTGGTTTTTAGATTTGAGAGTATCTTCTGCTCCTTGACTTTACTTTAAAAACACCAAGACAATGTTCTCTGGAGATGAGCAGAACTGAATAAACATTTTGCAGAGAGAGGAGAGGATGGGCACTTTTTGGTGTTACTCCTTTCCATCCTCCTGAAAGGGGTGAAATAAGAGGTCTGGTTAAAGGTCTTTATAAAAGATGTTGCTGTTTTCTGATGATGTTTCCAACCTCTGGTTGGATATCTAGATGATGCTTTACCCACCAAACAGTTAATTTTAGAGAGTAAAAGGAATCTCTTCATGGATCTTCAGGAATAAACTAGATAAAAATGGAAGCTGCTCAATGACAGCTTGGTTAAGGAAGAAATATAAGAAAGAAATTAAAGACTTCCTAGAATTCAATGAAAATGAAGGTACAACATACCCTACTTTATGGGACACATTGAAAGCAGTGCTCAGAGGAAAATTCATAGCACTAAGTGCCTTCAAGAAGAAATTTGTGACATCTCATATAAGCAACTTAATGGCCCAACTGAAAGCCCTAGAAAAGAAAAGAAGCAAATACACCAAAGAGGAGCAGACGGCTGGAAATACTCAAACTCAGGGCAGACATCAATCAATTAGAAACAAATAAAACTATTCAAAGAATCAATGAAACCAAGAGCTAGGTCTTTGAGAAAATCAACAAGATAGACAAACCTTTAGCCAAATTAACTAAAAGGCAGAGAGAAACTATCCAAATCAGAAATGAAAAGGGTGAAATAACTACAGACTCCGAGGAAATCCATTAGATCATACTACAAAAGCCTATATGCCACAACATTCGAAAATCTAAAAGAAATGGACAATTTTCTTGATAGATTTCATCTACCAAAATTAAGTCAAGATCAGGTAGAAAGATTGAATAGTCTTATATCCTCCAAGGAAATAGAAGCAGTCATCAACAGTCTCCCTTCCAAAAAAATCCCTGGGCCAGGTGGATTCAGTGCAGAATTCTATCAGACCTTCAAAAAAGTGCTAACTCCAATTCTCTCCAAACTATTCCACAAAATAGAAACAGAAGGAACATTACCAAACTCATTCTATGAAGCCAAAGTCACCTTGATACCTAAACCACACAAAGACCCAACCAAAAAAAAAAGAGAACTTCAGACCTATCTCTCTTATGAACATTGATGCAAAAATACTCAATAAAATACTTGCAAACGGAATCTAAGAACACATCAAAGATATCATCCACCATGACCAAGTAGGCTTCATCCCAGGCATGCAAGGGTGGTTCAACATACGGAAATCCATCAATGTAATCCACCACATAAACAAACTGAAGGAGAAAAACCACATGATCATCTCCTTAGATGCCAAAAAAGCATTTGACAAAGTCCAACCCATTCATGTTTAAAGTCTTGGAGAAATAAGGGATACAAGGCACATACCTAAACACAGTAAAGGAAATGTACCGTAAGCCTATATCCTACTTCAGACTCAATGGAGAGAAACTTAAATCAATCCCACTGAAATCAGGGAAAAGGCAAGGCTGCCCACTCTCTCCATATCTCTTCAACATAGTACTTGAAGTCCTAGCCAGAGCAATAAGACAACTAAAGGAGATCAAGGGGATACAAATTGGAAAGGAAAAGGTCAGTGTCACTATTCGCAGATGATATGATAGTATACATGAGCGACCCCAAAAATTCAACCAGAAAACTCCTTCAGCTGATAAACACCTTCAGCAAAGTGGCAGGATACAAAATCAACTCAAAAAAATCAGAAGCCCTCCTGTATACCAAAGATAAAAGGGCCAAGAAAGAAATCAGGGAAACAACACCCTTCTCAATAGCCACTAATAACATAAAGTACCTTGGGGTGACCCTTACCAAGCAAGTGAAAGATTTGTTTGGAAAAAAAAAAAAAGAAATTGAAGAAGATATCAGAAGATAGAAAGATCTCCCATGCTCATGGATTGGTAGGATTAACATTGTGAAAATGGCCATCCTGCCAAAAGCAATGTACAGATTCAATGCAATTCCCATCAAAATACCAACTCAATTCTTTACAGACCTTGAAAGAAAGATTCTCAGCTTCATATGGAGAAACAAAAAACCCAGAATCTCCAAAACAATCCTGTACAACAACAGATCATCTGGAGGTATCTCCATCCCCAATCTCAAGCTGTACTACAGGGCAACAGTAATAAAAACTGCATGGTATTGGCATAAAAACAGAAAGGAGGATCAATGGAACCAAACAGAAGACCCAGAAATAAACCCACACACCTATGAATACTTGATGAATACCATGAATACCATTCAATGGAAAAAAGACAGCATCTTCAACAAATGGTGCTGGTCCAACTGGATGTCTACATGTAGAAAAATGAAAACAGATACATATCTATCATCCTGCACAAAAGTAAAGTCCAAGTTGATCAAAGATCTCAACATAAAACCAGATACTCTAAATCGGTTAGAAGAAAAAGTGGGGAAGAGCCTAGAACTCATTGACACAGGAGACAACTTCCTGAACAGAACACCAACAGCACAGGCTCTAAGAGCAACAATCAATAAATGGGACCGCATGAAACTGAAAAGCTTCTGTAAAGCAAAAGACACTGTTGTCAGACAAAATGACTACCTACAGACTGGGAAAGGATCTTCACCAACCCTATATCTGACAGAGGGCTGTTATCCAGAATATATAAAGAACTAAAGAAGTTAAAAAGCAATAAATCAACTAATCGAATTAAAAATGGGGTACGGCACTAAACAGAGAATTCTCTGTAGAGGAATATCGAATGGCAGAGAAACACTTAAAGAAATGCTCAACGTCCTTAGCCATCAGAGAAATGCAAATCAAAACGACCCTGAGATTTCACCCTATACCCATTAAAATGGCTAAAATAAAAAACTGAAATGACAACACATGCTGGAGAGGTTGTGGAGAAAGGGGAACCCTCCTACATTGCTGATGGGAATGTAAACTTGTACAACCACTTTGGAAATCTATCTGGCACTTTCTAAGACAATTAGGTATAGTGCTTCCTCAAGACCCAGCTATTCCACTCCTAGGCATGTACCCAAAATTTGCTCAAGTACACAACAAGGACATTTGCTCAACTATGTTTGTAGCAGCTTTGTTTGTAGTAACCAGAACCTGGAAACAACCCAGATGTCCATCAGTGGAGGAATGGATACAGAAATTGTGGTGTTTTTGCACAATGGAATACTACTCAGCAATCAATAACGAGGAAATGATGAAATTTGCAGGCAAATGGTGGGATCTAGAAAAGGTCATTCTGAGTGAGGTATCCCAGAAGGAGAAAGACACACATGGTATATACTCACTTATATAGACTTATAAGATATGATAAACATAATGAAATCCATACACCTAAAGAAGATAAACAAGAAAGAAGACCCCAGGGTAAGATGATCAATCTTCACTTAGAAAGACAAATGGGATGGGCATTGTATGTGGGAGAAAATAAGTAACAGAACAGGAGCCTACCACAGAGGGTCTCTGCAAGACTCTACCTAGCAGTGTTTCAAAGCAGATTCTAAGACTCATAACCAAACCTTCGGCAGAGTGCAGGGAATCATATGAAAGAAGGGGGAGTTAGTATGACGTGGAAAGGATAGGAGCTCCACAAGGACCAAATATATCTGGGCACAGGGGTCTTTTCTGAGACTGATACTCCACCAAGGACCATGTATGGATATAACCTAGAACCTCTGCTCAGATGTAGCCTGTGGTAGCTCAGTAACCAATTGGTTTTACCCTAGTAAGGGGAACAGGGACTATTTCTGACAGAAACTCAATGGCAGGCTCTTTGACCTCCCCATCCCCCAAGGGAGGAGCAGCCTTGATAGGTCACAGAGGAGGACTTTGCAGCTAGTCTTGAAGATACCTGATAAAACAGGGTCAGAGGGAAGGGGAGGAGGTCCTCCCCAATCAGTGGACTTGGAAAGGGGTAGGGAGGAGATGAGGGAGGAAGGGTGGAATTGTGAGGGAATGAGGTAGCGGGATACAGCTGGGATACAGAGTTAATAAAATGTAACT